TTTTTTTTTTTGCTTTTGTAGTAAGTGTTGCTAACAGCAGCAAAACATTTAAATAAATATTTGGAATATTTAGCTTTTATTTTATATTGCTGATGTAAAAGTTAATCAACACATAAATTTTTATTAGACCAACAAACATCGTTATAATAACATTCTGTAAGAACATTTGATTAGTATAAGCATAATTCAAAGCAGTCACAAAATAGTGGATTGTAGCTATTAGTTTATTAATCCAATTTAGTAATATAAGTGACATATTTAGCATATTTAATTTAAGTTCTGCACTCTTTTAGAACAATTTTTTTTTTGGTTTTTTGGTACTGTTTAATATATAAATAAAAAAAAAATTTTTTTTTTAAACTCTGATTTTTCTCCAATTTTCAACAGTTTTAGAAACTATAAAAAATTTTTTAGTAAAACTTTTGAATAGCGCTAGACTGATCTGCTGTAGTATGTTCTTGCTATTTCCTTACTCTTAGCCAAATTTTGTTTTTAAAACGATGAGTTTACATTCTTTTTTAAGATGCAAATGAATTTTCATTATATTACAATTTTGGTAGCCACTGTTAATCAGCAATCATTCAGGTTCTCAAAGTTATGTTTAGAGTAATAGATTGCAAACTGGACTTTTAGAACTGTAGCATAAAAAAAAACCTTTCTATAGCTATAGCAAAGTTCTAGACAAAACTTGAATAAAAATGCGCAAATTTTTAGCACAGCTTAAGAAAAAAGTTTAATAACAACTGTCTCAAGCAAATTTTCTTTCCTAGAGTTTGTAATGAAGTTTTTTCGCTTAAAAAACTCTGATTTATTTTAGAGTGTCATTTTGTTCCAGAAATATGTTTTTTGCAGTAATCAAATATGTTACTCATGATGAAGATATCCAGAAGAAACTGAAAAAAATAACTTGAAATTTGAATAAACAAATACTATGCATGTTGTATAAAAACTTACAATTACAAATTTGAAACTTAATTAAAATATTTTGATGGCAAAAATTAAGTACTTTTTTTTTTAACGGTCAAGTTCGGTAGTGAAAATAGCTGTAGCTTATAAGAGAAGTTAATAGCGCAGATCTGTCTGCTTTGAGAGGAAACGATTTCTGTTTTCAAACTGTTGCTGTTGTTTACGAATCGTAATTTCTTAATTATGAGAGCTTAAAAAAATCGGAAGATCTGTTAAACGTTATCAAAGCAGCAAAATATTACAGTTTACAGCAAACAGTAACTAAAATTTTTTTGATTTTTTAAC